TTCTTTTTTTTTTTTTTTTTTTTCCTTCTTGCTATGTGTTAATTTTCCACCTTTGGTAACTTGATCATCCTAGATACCAATGAGCATGGAACAAACACAAATACTCAAAATAGATATAAAATTTTTGAAATTACAAGTTAAAACATGTGACAGTGTTATGACTTGTTAAAGAAAGGTTGGAATCAGCATCCATTTGAATCATAAGGATGTTATTAGCCTATTACTAAACCGCAAGAGGCAATGCATAAACTCTGAAAATCTAAGGGGCATTATGATGTTTATTCAAGGCTTTTGAGCTGAGAAGTTTTAAGGGAAAAAAGAATTGTGGTAAATTGCAGAAAACAGGTTAAAGAATACAAAATCCAAAAATGTAATGCACAATAAGATGATATCCATTGCCTGAAATCCATGGACGAAGACAACAACTTTTAGAACACGAGCATTTTGCCTTGGGCTTCCATCAGTTAATTTATTTATAGCTTTAGAGCCAAACCCAGAATCTGCGATGTTAGTATCCTTTGCCTCCCTATGAATGAAATATGAAAAACACTTGTTGTGCGCAATGGTGCATTTATAACACGTTCTACAGTCACAATTGGAATGCGTGATGGATCTCCAAATATGTGCATGTCTTGAATCGAAGAATGATTAATCTGAAATAAACCAAGACAGGTTCAAGTTTCTATAGTAGTGAAAATAATAAAAGCATCATTGTATCTTTAGATAGAACTCACTCTCATTTGTGCTATACTCCGCCGGTGAAGATCAGCACGCATAGCTGCAGCATGAGCAGGCTGATCACAGTAAAAGCAAACATTCAGATAAGCAAGACTAAGTGTAATCTACATCTAAAAAGGCTGCTCATTTTAAAAAGACTCATGTGTAATCCCGTGTAATAAAAATATGGCCATAACAGAACTATAAAGTTCTGATTTAATTACATCTTCAGTAAGCTTCTTCAGAACACGTGCTCTTCCATGAGTACGAAGGTAAAACGATTTATCAACATCACTACTTATGTATTGGTGTGGCATCTCAACATTAGAATAGATCATCCATATTGACCATTCTGTTCTTCGATCAATAGCCATTGTTCTCTAAGGAAATCCAGAATTGATGTTTTGTGAGCCCTGGGCAAAAATAAGAAACTAATTTTAGAATGCAAAGTAAAACTGACTAGAAAATGCAGCTATCCATGAGAAATTTTAAGGAATACTTCTTATATAGATATAAAGTATGGATCACATGAAGGCAAGGAATCATAAACTCAGGTGATAGGGCTATATGAAAATTTCCCACCAATCCTATTGCAGTACCTTATGATCAATAGGATATTCTTGATTCTCTCTCAAAAAATGACAATCAGTATTACCAATTTTGTTATCTAAATAATCCTTCCCAGGTATATTTCAAGCAGCTGTTTTCCTTCCAAAAGTCAATGTAGGGCCAAAACCCATTGTATGTCTTATAATCTAAGATTGGGCCAAGGTCACTCAATTGGGCTATAATACACATGGGCCAAACCACATTAAAAGACTTAATCCAATCAATTAGTTAGTCTAACCCATGGCCTATATTCTCTCTTATATTTTCAATGTGGGACTCTTAACAGTATGCAGATGTCCAAAGTAGATAGAAAATTGTACTAGAATACAAAATAGAGAAAAAAGTGTGCACAACCCCAAATGAAATAACAAATATTGCTCTCCTAAATTGAACCAAAAACTACTGAAGTAATCCAACTAAATTAGTAAATTTGAATTTGGCTGCTTTTCAAGCTAATGTGCATTTAGTTACTATCAAGCTGAGAGGAAAAAGAGCATTCCACCATGGCATTAGAGTGCAGTTTTCTACCTTCAAATTATAAAAATAATTCATGTCATTGTTTACAACCCAAACCTTAAGTTCTCTGCTCAGTATTGACCTTTTTTGTCTCAAAATACTCCACTCATCCTCAACTTTACAAAATGATTTTTTTCAAAAATGATGCCTTCAAACTTTTCTGGCAACCAGAGTCTAATAATCTAATACTCCGTAACATATAATCAGAAAATATAACACCAAAGCAAGCTAACATCAAGGAATTGCAACAATTGAGAAAAGGCCCTGAGTATGCTTAGTGGGGCATCCCATTTTAACTTTCAATCACATCAAGCATAAAAAAGGGCCAATTGGCTAGATGGACAATTGAGATTGGTTGTTAATTTTTTGCTGGGAACAAGTTCTGTCTCTCTCTCTCTGTGGCTCTCCCAAATGGGAGGTCACAGGTTTGAACCCCAGTGGGAGCATTGACTCTTTGTGCTTTAATAGGTTGAGAAAGTATGGACATATACTACACTGTAATAGAGTAAGTACTCAAAATATATATATATATATATATATATATATATATATATATTTTGAAAGTTAAACTTGAACTACTCCAACTTGAGTTCGACTTAACTGTAACCGAAACGAATTTGAATATTCATCGAATCGAGTCCAAGTAGCTTGACTCACACCCCTATGATAGAGAAATATTAAGGTTTTTGAGACAAGATGTACCCAGTGAAAACAAACCTGTGAAACTTCTGAAATACACCCCATAAGTAAACAACTTGATTGCCAAAGCAAATAAACAGGCTGAGCAGTTCCTCAGTAGGTAGAGAATGCAGGACTTCTTCAGATATGTTGTTTGGTTTCTGTCAACAGCAGAACAGCATATAAGATAGCACACAAGAAAAAATAAGGCACCCCGACTGGATGCAGAACAATTAGCTCCCACAGGAGGAAAGAACCTTAGAAACATGCTGCCTTTTGCTTTGAGCCTGTCCTGAAACTGCATTCGCATCTATTGCTGAATCTGCATCTGTGGGGAAACTTAACAATTCTTTAACCTCATGTTTAGAAGCAAAATCATTTACATTGATAGCCTGATTAATAGCCTTGCTGATTTTTTGTAGCTCTTCAAGAAGTATGTCACGAGCATTCAAAAATCCTTTAACAAGTATTGCCTGTTAAACAAATACAATAGGTCAAATAGAACTTGAATTTAAAACAATGCAATGTTTTGACAGAAAGGAAACTTTTGTTACCCAGAGTTTAGAGAAGAGAACTTACTTGCTTTGACTTATCATAGTCTTCAACTGCAACATTATTCTTGCAAGAACCGCTGTATAAGCCCAAAACTATAAGTTACTTCCATAAGCTTAATTCTTGCAAATTAGTTGGAACTCAAAACATAAGACACGAGAGATAACTCAAATGTATGGCATCATTTTAATTCCCATTAAACCAATTGAGAAATTGAAATCTCATACAAACCTTGGCCCGTTTGATGAGGAGGTGTGCAAACCACTTCGCAATAGGCAGATGTGTACACTTACATCAACGAGTACAGCATGGAAAGCATCAAAATGAACAGGGCAATAAGAATGGAGTCCAAGAAGAGCCTTAGGAGGAATTCGAAATTCATGGACTGCAGTGGGACATATGTCTAATGAGCCCTGCAAATCACACCTGTAATTCATGTGATGAAGTTATTCAACTGGAAAATTTACAATTTTAATTGCAATTTTAAGAAATCAGGAAAAAAAATAGTCCAAGAAACCAAAATTAGAGGGAAAAGTACAAAATATCAGGTGAACTAACCTGTTCTCCGACACAGGCGCATACAAGAGCTCAAATTTCAGAATAACGGCAGATGAAGATGGTCCCTGCTAATTTAAAGGACCTATCAGTTGCCAAGATAAAAAATCAATTGGGATAAATAAACACTGGAGAAGAATGGCATACTATATAAATATACTCCATAGAATTCAAACCATGCAAATATAGTATAATAAAGTACTTAAGCTTTCATATTCACTCTTCCATAGGTATCTCCAATGAGTTAAAATCCAGGTTATTTCCAAAGCAAAAATTGCTTGCAGTCTTACGTCCCCTTTGGAATTTGTAAATCTATGTGGAAAGATAGAGTAAAGAGTAGATAGAGATATATTTAAACAAATCAATAGAAAATAGATGTATTGAAAGGAAAAAAGACAATATAGGAGAAACAAATTGTACTCCCCAACAAGAATAAATCCTGCCCCCCTCAGCTAAAGCTGATAATTGCTAATAATTTTCTGCACACTTCCCTTCTAAGAGAATGTGTTATTTATAGTCTATGAAAATATAAAAAAAGGTAAGCGTCAATCAAACATAATGAATCAAGGATAATCAATCAATCATTAATTCCTTGATTTTAGCTCCCAAAATCATGTAATTTGAATTTCTTAACTAGTTCCCTTTCAAAAGAAAATGAGATTCCAATACAATGGTTTTTTTTTTACTTATTAGAGTTCTGGAACTATCAAGGAAAAGGGAAGTAGGGAAAACTTCAACAATTTTTGAGAAAATACTTGAAAAAGATAGAGGGAGACAAACAGAATAACAAAATCGAAAAAAGAGTCAAGAGAAAAGTTCTAAGCCTCAAACTGTAAACCAAGAACATAGTTTTCTATTAGAAATGCCAATTGCCAATAACCCATATTCAAATCAGAAATTTGAGGAACATTGTCTACTGATCAAAATAAGTAAATTCAATTTTGTTTATACTTGCCTCCCATATGTTTCAGAAAAGGCTCTTAAAATTTTCTCTCTTCTTTTCCATTTTTTTCTCTTGCCTCACAACTTAATATTTCCTAATAAAAACTGATTTTATATCTCATTTTTTATTTTCTTTTGAGTTTTCTAGATATCCAATGTTGAGTTACTAAAGTACTAAGGTAGTCCGATGGTTGGATGATTACTGTATAACCATTTAGTTAATTGTTCTCACTAAGCTAGATTGGGCAATGGGCAGTGTTAAGGGTCTTTTTCTTTTCTACCTGTATATATACATATTAGTACACATATCCACTGTATTTCAACCTTTTTACCCATACAATCTCTTTTTTCTTTTCCTTTTTTATTCAATATGGTATTCAAAGCCATTTTCTTGTGGCCTGATCTTTTCTTGTAATAAGGTAAATTCGCAGCCACTACAGAGGATGTGCACGGGGTAAGCCCCACTGTTGTGTAATAGCCCTCAAACCCCATAGGAGAGGTAAACCGGACTAGGAAGACCCCATACGACGGTCTCAACCAAAAAGGTAAAGGTGTTGGCAAAAATCAAACCCGTGACCTTCAGATACAAGAATCATGCTCCACCCATTTGGCCTGATCTTTCATTATGTTAATGATAGTTGATGAACAATACCAAAGCATTGTTCATCCTTCTAAACCTATGCATTTTCTTCTGTTAAACAATGAACTCAACTTGTATATTTCTATATGTTTTGTGTAGATGTACAAGGAAGTGTAGAGCTATTTATACAAGACAAGAGCTAATCCTAGCCATAGATTTCAAACACCTAAACCTAAGGCTAAGAGAGATCCTCTCAACTAACACCCTATTCCTCTAACACTCCCCCTCAAGTTGGAGCATCCAACTTGTTACATATGTATCACATGAATCATAGGACTCCACACCTAGACTCATAACTTCCAAGGCCAACGCCCAAGTCTTGAACCACTCGAACAACCTTCAAACCACGCTGTGCCAAACCAGTCCACAACGCACCTTGTCGCACCAACAACGCTTCTAAGGAGCCAACAAAAGCTAGGCCAATCACCACAGCGCCGCACCTGCCTCTCACACCCCACACCCTTATCAACGCTGCCTAACACCACAGCGTACCTGCCTCTCGCTCCACAAACCATTAGCGCTGCCACACCACAGTGCACCTGTCAGTCTCACCATGCACCATTACCATCGCTGCCCAACACCACAACGTTTTCTCGATGCATGCACATAAACTGACTCACCCTGAATCATTCTTCAGCCGTCGGCCTTCCCCGCGGCATATGCCAGGTCCGCCCCACTCCTGGCTGCCCATTCCTGCAGCACCCCTGCTTACGCACACTGAACAAGCTACACTTGACTCAACTCAGACCCTAAATTGCTCCCATACCAAATTAACTTAAAACGAGCGACAAATTATGACAAACCAAACACAAAGCTCATGACTTATTAATACGATAAACAAAAGAACCTACTGCCTAATTATTCCTCGTCAGCAGCACAAACCTAACCACACATTATGCTTCCAATCAATTTCCAAAAGCATTCATCAACTAGACCTCCATGCCACTCTATTTTGTAACCATGAGACCACCCAGCTTCGTGGACCTCCCCTACCATCTCTCTCGGCTGTCCCTCTCTCTTGCTAATTTCCCTCCATCTCTCTCGACCAGCAGCAGTTCCTCCGACGCGCAGCTCCCTCCGGCGACCTCTGCCTCTTCCCGGCGAGCACAACAGATCTTGGAAGCTTCTCTCCAGCGAACTCTGCTGCCTGAGCCCGCCGGTACCAACCTCGACCAAAGAAGGTGCCGGAACAGTGCGCACGCGCCAGCACGTGCCGGAACAGTGCGCACGCGCCAGCACGTGGCGTCGGAACCCTAGGACTGCGCCGGCACGTGAGAACTCCGATGGCTGCTCCGCCTCTCCGACGGCGTCGCCTCCTCTTTCAGACCAAAGCCCACTACCCAGTCACCTCAATCTCGCTTTGATACCATGTTAAACAATGAACTCAACTTGTATATTTCTATATGTTCTGTGTAGATGTACAATGAAGTGTAGAGCTATTTATACAACAAGAGCTAATCCTAGCCATAGATTTCAAACACCTAAACCTAAGGCTAAGAAAGATCCTCTCAACTAACACCCTTTTCCTCTAACATCTTCAATTAATCTCGTGTTGCTAGGGAGCTTAGTAACCTCAAGCAATCATAACCTAACATGTCATGATCACCAGAGTTGGCACACAAACTTTCACATGCTGCCCCTCTGTCACCATGCACCCGGATGTGACACCATGTGAATCCTTCTCTTGTGACCTTCCCAAGTTACTTTCCCAGATGGCTTTCTCAACATATTTTACCTTGTTTGTGAGGCCAGATGTTTTTCGGGAAACAAGGGGACATCCGACAACAATTCAGGCTCCATTGTATGTCTCTAGCTCCAATATTCCTGTGTCTGGCTCCCACTACTGTATTTGTTCTTACTTTTTAATCTATTTGGAAATCCATTCATTACCTCCAAGAAGCTTTGTTGGTACATAATTATAAATCTTGGTCTGCAGTAATTGAATTGTAGTTTATGGGGCCAAGGTTTATTGATCATTTGATCACTTGAATAAAAAAGTTGATGATATTCAAGTAAATAAAAAGGCAATTTGGTAGAATGTTGATGTGTAGTTGTGTAGTCTAGTAAGGTAGTCTCTTTCTCGAGAGTAAGTGATTCTTTTCAGATCATTCAAAGCATGCCTTTCCATCCAAAATCAAACCAAGTCATTATATGTTAATGATATTTATCATTCTTATTCTGTAATCTCATTCTTCAGAGTTAGTGCTTCTTCTCAGACCATTCAAAGCGTGCATCTCTGTCTAGAGCCAAGCAAGTCATTATATGCTAATGATATTTCTCGTTCTTACTTTGTTGTTCAAGAGTTGGTCAATTTGAAGAAAACTGGTGTAAGTATGAAGAACCTCCCCAAGAAAATCCAGAGTTTAATAACTTAAGTCATCAGCTACATACTAATTGGTAGAACAACCAGTCAACCACAGAACAAACAGTTGATCATGAGAAATTATTTGGGGTGCTTTACTTTTTACTGCTAGACCCAGAGTTTAAGTTATGTGAGTTAGGACCTATAAAGCTTATTTGTGACAAACAGGCAACAACATATCACATGCAACCCACTCTCCCATGAGAGAACAAAGCACATTGAAGTCAACTGTCATTTTATTCAAGAGAAATTATTACATCTTTTGTTCGCTTAAATGACCAGTTTCCTAGGATTAACTGCATTTGTAAAACGCTTGGCAGTTATGATATACGCTTCAAACTTGAGGGGGTATAGTCTTAGGATTGTACAATTACTATCCAATCATCCGGTTAATTCTTCTCACTAAGCTAGAGCAGGTAGTCTAAGGGTCTATTTTAGTTGTATATATATTAGTGCACATACTCCATTGTAATTCAAGTTTTTTCTCAATGTTCTAAAAACCATTAGGCGCCCTCAGGTGTTTGATGGGCGCCTAGGTGCCAAACTAAAAAGACATAACAAAACATATTGATTTTTTTTGCATATGGCATTCTGGTTCTTTAAACTTCTAGCAAGTATTCCTCCCATAAAATATAAATGTCCGATAACACTAGTGTTGCAAAAAAATCAGCCTAGGCGTCCACCTAAACACCGTATAGGCACTAGGTGCCCCTAGGCCGAGAGGATTTCCATGTTAGGCATATGGTAGGCGAACGTCCGACTAGTTGAAATAGGCAGCCAAATCAGCAAAATTGGCTGATTAAAATTTTTTTATCGGTTTGTTTCGCTCAAAATGACATACTTTTGAGCAAAACAAACCAAAACTCTAAGTAGCTAAGCAAATTGCTGCGAAAAAGGGAAGGAAATCAAGAAGAAATCGACGATCGCACATTTGCACCTCACTCCCTCAGCCCGCAGCCCCACAACTCATTGTCATCGACAATCATCAGCTTATTGCCTCTTGCACATCGCCCAGTACTACCAGTAGCTTCAAACTTCGAAGCCAGTTGATCATTGTCTGGTGAAGGAGCTTAGCTTCAGATTGCTTCAAAGCCGATTGATCATTAGCTCATCGCCTTTGGAAGTCGTCGCCAATAGTTCTGCAGCTTACCATCACCACCACCAGCTAATCAGCTCATCAGCATCACGCCATGTACAGATTCAATTTTTCTTTTTTGTCTTTGCTTTATATTGTGAATTTATAAGAGGTATATGTTGCTTTATATTGCTTTAAAGTGCTTTTATTCCTTTTAAGCCTTCAAATCTTCACAACACAAGGCAGTGTATGTGATATGGGGCAACACTGTTATCAATTATGTGCAATTGTGGATTGCAACACTACTTTTTTTTTTTATTTAGGCATCCGCCTAGGCAGATGCCTAGTGCAATGAGTGCCTAGCGCCTTCTACAACACTGATTACACATGATATTCTAACCTTAAAACATACAAACGAAAAAAAAAAAAATTATATATATACATATATATATAGAGGCTGAGTTAGCCGAGTGCACAAAAGGCCAACTTTCCCATTCTTCCTTCGCCCTAGCAGCAACCTAGTCCGATTTTTACAACACACTGTTTTTCAATACAAACTTTTCCTTTCTCCTATTTTATTCAGCGTCCAAATAGCCAACGACCTTCTTATTTCTCAGATTTTGCTCTTTTTCCACAAAACTCTAGGATGTAGGATCAGATAAAGTGTAAAGAAGCAGATCTACTTAGCTAATTGCCTATATATTTCTCTGATAGCTAATAAGAGATGTGTGAAGGAAAGAAAATAAGGGGAGAAGCAACTACCTCATATTCGGCAAGAGATAAGTTGAAAGAGACCATCAATAAGAGAAGGATATCCTGCCTTGCATATCTTATTCTGAAAGGTGGTGTGTAGAAACTGTGGTCTTTGTCATCAATCCTCCACACTCCATATACATTATCAGAACTGGAGTCAGGAGCTGCATGTTAGAAAAGATGTTACTATTTCCAGATCATAGTCAATATTAGTATAAGTTCAAGCCTGTTACTTATGCAATGCTATGTGCAATGCTATGCTATGTGCACTCTCTTATATGTGTTTGTGTGTGTGTGTGTGTGCATATGCGAGGGCAAAGAAGGCGGAAAGTTCATAGCCACTAAAAATTTAGGCAAATACACATCCTAGAATTCCATTGATCACTAAAAGGACTGTTCATTTGCTAAAAGAATATAAAAGAGGCCAATAGATCATCAGAGACCAAAAAAATCCTTAATATCAATATATCATATGTGCTAAGTCCGTTAAAAAACTGCATGATTTCTAGATTTATGAAGATTCAGAAATGATAATCAATTGACCTTAGCACATTTCATTTTTAATCCCTTGGTCTGTATCAAACTCACTGTATTTTTAAATTCCAGTAACTGTATATATCAAAAGCTTCATGATTAGCTTGTCAAATTAAGCATGAACTAATACACCAAGTCATTTGGATACATGTAATTGGATTTATTCTTTAAAAAATATAGAGCAAGTCTCTAAGAATTTACCTTCATACTGAACAACTCGTGATGGAGTTCCAACTGAATCAGAAATGCCATCCTCCCATCTCATTGTAATCTTAATCTGATACCATCTAAATATGCATCAAAGACAGAGCAAGTGTGACAATATTGATTTTCAATGTGAGCAAGTTAAAATAGAAATAAGTACAGAAAATAGTGAGTTACATACCCTTGCTGGAACAGGTCAAGATTGTGAAACCGATGAATATAAATGGCAATCTCCTGAGCAGCCTCCAACATCTGCTGCTGCGGCTTTCTATGCTTAAGTTTAGCATTATAATTTGACTTCTGCATTGCTGGGCTGTTGTAGTATGTGCATTGGGAAAAGCGGTGCAGCTAGCATCAGTACTATTTAATCTTATTAGGGTAAACTGGGGTTGCTTTGACAAGATCAGCTATTATCCATTGAAAACCTCAAAATCTGACAAACATTTATAATGGCTCTTGAAAATTCTAACACTTTGCATCGAAATTGGTTTTACTCAAATGCCAGTGCAATTTGGCTTGGTTTACTGCTAAGAAAACTATATGGTTCACACCCAGTGAAGAAAATTGTAAATTCACTGTAAAAGGTAAGCCTTCCTGAAGTTGTTAAGCATGGGAGCATCATTATTCATTAATAGCTTAGGCGGGCAAATTCCTACACATAAAAACATGTTTTTGAATTTCATTCATAAAAAAGAATATAATAAAGTGTGAATAAAGAGTAGACAGTTTATAGCAGCCAATCCACAGGAAGAAAAGACCACGAAAACACTTCAGTAAATAATGGTGAAATAAAAGGTATATGATCCCAAAAAAAAACACAAACCAAAAAAAGATGAAGAGAACCATATTAAATTCACTACCCACTAAACCAAGGAGAGTCTAAGTCAGCAACAGAGCAATTGAGTTATAACTATAAAAAGAGAATTTCAACTGGCAACTGTTCTGAACACTTGCGACTATTCAATATTAGTTCAGCTATCCACATTCAATTATCCCAGAATGTTAAACAATCACTAGACATCTGCATTTTGTTACTACTTCTGCCATGAAATGGAGTATAGTGCAATCTAATTTCCCCAAAAAAAACTCTACTCTAATTTAAATTTTAACTATGGCAACAAAAGAGAAGAACAGGGGAAAGGGTCAATCATTTAAGCTATGAATGAGCTAAAAGATAGAAGATATCCTAATTATGCATTTCTATAAACCTAAAACCTTTAAAGTTTCCATCAGCAAAAACAATTGCCAAAGCAAATTATATAAAAATCACCATAAAAAAGGTATCTACATTTGCAATGGGAAGAGCTTATGCAAAGATAAATAGATATAGATAAACAAAGAAAAAAAGCAACATAATGCACTAATCAGAAAATGTTCAGAGGGAAGTGAAATACGGACCTAAAATGGAGTGCCCTGTTTTTCCATATTCTTGTTCCGCTGGCGAGAAGCAATGATAGTCAGCGTCGCAAGGTGGTAAAGAGGATAAACTATGAACATGCAACGTGACAAATTGCTGAATAGGGTCGTGGAAGGCGGCGATAATGGTGGCTGTTCGGCGGTGAAAGAGCTCAAACACGGGGCGTGGTGGTTCACCACGTTTGAAGATGCCAATCGGAATCAAAGGTTAAAGTGGTTTTTGGTTTCCATTTTAAAAACTCAAGCAATGGCGATGAAATACCTAAGGAATGACAAAATTGATTACCGAGCTCCATTCAGGTTTCATTTCCTTGCCCACAAAAGGCGAAATCCCTCGCCCCAAGTTATTTCCTTGTCCAGGTTTCATTTCCTCAACCTTCTTTCGTCCGCGCCATCCCTTCTCCTCTTCGCGCCTCCTCCAAGTTATTTCTCAATAAAACAGTAAAGAGTTCAAACTGTGTGATGCTTCACCGGAGAAGAAGGTCGTTGTTATGGAGAAGCTGTGCTGCTGCCACTAACCCTAGTTGCTTCATCGTCGCTGCCTCGGCATTGTTTAGGAAGTCGCTGCTTGAACTTGCACCACTGCTACCATTGTTCTTTCTTCTTTTATTTTTGGCGGAAAAGAAAACGAACACTGCTCTGTAAAAAACAATGGAGATCTAGGGATTTTAATTTTTAACCCTTTTCCTGGCAAAAGCTCAAAGTTATGCTTTTTAGTGTTTTTTTTTTTTTTCCTTTTATAATTTTTACCCATATTTATTTGTTAACATAAATACTTATTATTGACTCATATCAACAACAACAACCAAAAAAATATTTTAAACAAAAGTGTTAGAAAATATTTATATTAGATTTCTTTTTTTTTTTAATAGTACTGGCTCTATTACATTGTAGTAACAAAGAACCAAGTCCAACCCGGGTACCATCAGACCACATAGTCTTGGTATATTAGATTTCAATTATACCAAAAAAATTATTCCCTATAAAATTAGATTTTCAAAATCATAACTCTTTTACAATTTTAGACTTATGATTTATACTTGGTGTATCATTCAAAAGGTTCAACTTATGAATGAATTATACTACCCGAAAAAGTAAATTAACTGGATAGTAGTTCAAGAACTAACCGGATAGTTTAAAGAACCAAATAGTAAAGGTGTAGGAAGTCAACAACCGGATGGTGCACAACCGAAAAGTAAAAGATTGAAGAGTCCAAAAGTTGATGACCAGAAGGTACAAGACTAAATAGTATGAGAACCAGATGGTTCATTTGGAACCAGGAGGTAAATCAACCAGATAGTAATTGGGTTAACTTAAAGTCAAATACTCAAATCATAATGTTGTTCGAAAAGGCGACTACAATCAAAGTCAAGCAGACACCGAATAGTCCAAATCGAGAAGTGACCTAGTCATCATTCGGTGAAGTCACATTACAATTCGCATAACCAGACAATATAGTGATTGAGTATATTCTCACAACAAGGTAAACAATATAATGTTGTTAAGGTTTCAATATGCTTATGTACATATATCGAAGATGATTTTCCTTAAATAGCGAAGACATAATGCAAGATAAAACGTCAAAAATTCATGCACTAAAAGTCATGCAACGGTTGAAAGTTCTAACATGAACAACCAAATGCACAACCACTAGCCATTTCACAATGGATAATGACACTACCCATTTGAAGTTTATTTCCTTCCAATAAACAAATTGAAATGAGTATATAAATACATCAGTTCAAGTTGAATGACATACTACATTTTTTAGATAAATTCTTACTAGTGTAAACTACATTCAAGAGCAACCTAGCTGACAAATGAGAGACTACTACGATCAATTCCAGATCAAGATTCAAGACTTTGGCAAATTCAAGACTACTAAACGCTAAGACTACAAGTCTACAACAGTTAGAGAAGAACATTCTTTTGTATTCAAATATTCAAACTCTAAACGGAAAAATAAAAAGAGCATGAGTAACAAGTTGAACACTTGAGAAAAATCTAAGGTTGTGGCTGGCTTTGTGATCAAAGCACAAGTTCTCTCCACTTGTATTTGGGGTGATAAGTACTAGTGGAACCTCCTAAGGAATTATAGGAGAATAGTGAATTAGGCCGAGTTGGTTGAACCACTAAAAAAATTATTGTATCTCTTTACTTACTTTATTGTTTTCATTATTCATCTTCTAACCAAATTTTATTAACAAGATAAACGTGACATCAAAACTTAAAAGGGGTATAACATTATTTTCGTTGCATGAAACTCATGTTTACAACACCTCTATTCACAAACAAAAGTTTTCAAAATATAACAAGTATATTCACACCTCCACTCCCCTCTAGGCTTGTTCAAACACCATTCTGGTTAGAGTAGTTGCCTATTTTGGGTCAACAATCTGACTGCTAGGTGGACCTCTATTCAAAAAATAATAATATTTTAGTTGGTATATATTTTTTTCTTGAAAAATGAAAGGTTCGTTGTCTAAGCATCTTATGTTTAGCACTGACAAATTTGATGATTAAAAAATACCAATACAAACACATCTATTAGCTCGCAATGACGAAATGTGGGAGGTGATAACATGTGGACCAATGGAGATTCTTAAGGTCAATGTAGCCACTCTACAAAACATTGACACTCCTATGTATGTTCCAAAGCCATGTGACAAATGGATGATGGAGAACTAGAAGAGGAATAACATTGACAACATAGCAAAAAATATATTCTTCAAGGCTGTATATAACACTATATTTCATAGAATACGCAAGTGTGTGTTTGCCATGCAGGTATGGAAATTCCTTTTGCATATTGGAGAAGAGACAAATAAGAGAAGTATGCCAATTGCCACGAAGAAGTTCGAAGACTTCAAGATAACCCTAGTACAAAGTGTAATTGAAACGGAGATCATATACATGAAGATACTCAGTGAGATTATGGATCTTAACCATAACATAAGTCAAAAGGATATCAACCTAAAGATTTTGAGAGGCTTGCCTAAATCTAAGGAGATGAAGGTCACTTCATGCGTGACCACGGAGATTTATAGGTAATGTCAATTGTCTAGTTCTTCAAGAACTTAAAGCATACGAGTTTGAGATAAAGAACTAACAAAGATGAAAACAAAGTTGATGAACCGCAAAAACTACGACACTAATCGCCAATCAACCATCAACGTCTTCAAGGTTAGTAGATTTCAATAATGATTTTTATTTGACAAACAATTTGCTTTGTTTGTTAGAAATTCAAAAGCTTTATGAGGCGTAACAACTTACAATGAAGTCCTTCATTCTCAACAAAAAGGTACCATAAATGTAAAAGATCATCATGATCAAGCAGGAAAGCACTAGAAAATATAATCAGCCTTTACTAAAACTGCTGAAAGGCTCACCATTTCAAAGATGAGTGCTAATTAATTAAAGGGAAAATAACACTTTTGACCCCTAAATTGTTTTACTTTTAGAAATTTAGTTCTTAAAGTTAATTTAAACAAATTTAACCCCTTAATTGTTCATAATAATGTTGCACTTTCAATCATAGTGTTATATAATTGTCAAAATATGAGGTTATTTTTATCATTTATAATCAATATCCACTGTTAAAAATGACATTCATATGGAGAGAATGAAACTTTAACCATGGATATTAATGTTAAATGACATAAATAACATCATAAAAAAGAGTTTGCTAATGACGTTTGATAATTATATAACACTATAATGACTAAAAGTGCAACATTATGAACAATTTTAGGGGCTAAATTTACTTAAATTAACTTACATTGAACAAATTTTCAATAGTGAGACAATTCATAGACCAAAAGTATTATTTTCCTTTAATTAATACTCATTTCAATTACTAAGCATTTGATTATGAGTTTCATTGGAT